AAGGGCATGGGTGGTTTCGTCCAAAGCGCAATGATGAAGAGGTCAGACAGCGTCAAGAGATGGAGTGTAACCTCTCCCCCTGGCCTCGTACGCGCCGATTCAGCTGCTTCAAGCCGGCCTGAGTCTCGCTCCCGTCCGCAGAGCATGTACATGCGGGACGGAGCTGCTACACCTACGGGGTCATCTCACTCTCGGTCTCTGTCCCGCCCCGCCTCTCACCCTACTTCTCGACATAGCAACCAGGAACAACAAGACGAGATCGAGACTACACCAAAAGCACCTGCAGCAGCACCTCCTCCCGATGCCAAGCCTGAGGCCAAGCCCGACGTCAAGCTCGATACCAAGCTCGATAACAATGAGGAGGACAATAAGGATGTGACACCGCCATCAAGCCCTTCGAAGACTATGGATTCTAGGAGATGGAGCCCGACGAAGGCAAGCTGGCTGGAAACTGCACTGAACAAGCCAGAGTCTCCGAAACCTAAGCCTCCGCCGGTATCAAACCAGCCAGCTTGGATGGTGGAGCTCAACAAAGCAAAGGCTCACAAGGCTGCCAACCCCAGTGCCGACCTTGGTCGAAGCGGCTCAGTATCATCGCAGAAGCACGAAGTCAATGTCGGCGGGCTGATGCGTTCATCACCGATGGGAAGCCATGTCTCCAAGCCCTCTGTAAGTGGCCTCAAGGGTATATATGCACCTCCAGTACAAACCCACAAGACCGGCGGCAGCATCAGCAGCCCAAGCTTTCGCACCAGCACAATCAAGAGCCCGGCAGGCGAGGACAAACCGGAAGGAGATGCTCTGCCCGTGGATATTCCAAAGCGCTCCTCGGTAACTGACAGCCCTTCTGTGGCTAAAGTCAAGCCTGAAACTCCTCCCAAGAAGGATTTCCGCGCTGGCCTGAAGTCAAGAAACGTCTCTGGCGATGCTTCTTCTTCCAAAGAGCCCGCCAACGAGTTGCAGAATGTATTTGGCAACTTGCGACGGACAAAGACGCAGAATTACGTGGCGCCAGATGAGCTGAAGAACAATATTTCGCGCGGCAAAGCGGCCTTGAACATGACTGGTGGGCCGAAGCCTAGCGAGCGCAAGGATGAGTTCAAAGATGCGATTTTGAAGAAGAAGCAGGATTTCCAGGCTGCTCAATCGCAAGGCAAAGGCGTGGTTAGAACCAAGTCCAATGCATCTGAGAACCCTGTTCCAGAAGCTCTGCTGAAAAGACATGCGTTGAGCAAGTCGATCTCGGGCAGATCAGATGCTACCTCACCCTCCGCTATCGAGCATCGAAAGTCTGTCAGTGAGAGGCCCAAGTCATCGTACAGAGACGATTCCAATGAGTCGGTTGCTTCGCTCAGGTCGCCTTCTGTCAAATCGCCCTCTGCCAGGTCGCCGTCACTCAAATCGCCTTCTATCAAGTCGCCAGTAGAATCTGGACCTACGGTCGAGGTTCAGAAGGAGAGCATTGCTCCTGGTCGGCTTCAGGGACGTGCCGCTGCCGGTGGCCTGGCGGGCCGCTTCAATCCTGCACTCGCAGGACTTTTGGCCCGTGGTCCCCCTCCCATGGCTACCAATGGAGGGCGTGATGCCGAAAAGTCAGAAGAATCGAGCGGGGCGCCCGCCGAACCTACGGCTCCAGGACCTCAGCTTACACACATGACTAAGGGTCGTGCTCGTGGGCCGAGAAGAAAGGCGCCGTCTTCCAAGGCTCCCTCCGCAGCTGCGCCAAGCGCAGAAGTGGCAAGCGAATCTAAGCCCAGCCCAAGTGCTCTCTCACCGGCGAAGGACGAGTGGCCTGTAGTGGAAGCAGCCGTCAAGAGCCCCGCAAAGGAGGCTCCAATGTCCATTCAAGCTCAGGTCGCTGCTCAAGCAGCTGCCAAGAATAGGCCAGCACCTCTCAAGCCCTTTGGCACCCCTTCTAAGGTTCCCGCTGAGAAGCCTGCAGAAAAGTCTCCAGAGAAGCCTGTTCTCCCGGCCAAGGAGGAAGATCCCGTGTCAAAGCGCAGGTCCCGATCTCCTACGATGAAGCTCCAGGCCTCCCCGATCAAGCCTGTCGAGGAGAAACCCAGCGAACCCGCCTCTCAGCCCACCTCACCTAAGAAGCTGGACATGAAGCGAATGTCTAGATTCTTTGAAGAGAACAACCAGTCGAGCCCAAAGCCTGAAAGTCCCAAAAGGGAGAGCCCAATGATGGACAGCCCTCCCAAGATGAGCAGCCCGCCTAAGATGGTCAGCCCGACGAAGGAGAGCCCCAAGGTAGAGAGTCCCAAGATCACCAGCCCCAAGGTTGCCAGCCCGAAGAGAGAAAGTCCGGCTTCGTCGCCAAGCATCAAGCCCAAGCCCGTTTTCGAGAAGCCCTTCAGCCCGCCACCCCAAAAGTCGGAGGAGGAAGTCAGACCGAAGCCAGTATTTGAGAAGCCTCCTAGCCCTGTACTTCAGAGAAGCGAGGAAGTCTCTCCTGTCAAGACTTTCGGGCGGCCTCTCCCCGAGCCTAAGCCAAGTTCTCCTGCAAAGCCTTTCTCGGACAAAGTGGAGGAAGCTCCTGCGCCCACCAGGACTTTTGGACGCCCGCTGCCCGAACCAACTCCCAGATCACCCACAAGGTCTCCCGTTCGGTCACCGCCGCCTAATGAGCAATTCGATAGCCCTCACGTAGCGCCCCTCAGAACCTTTGGCCGACCTCTGTCCAGGCCCAGCTCACCTCAAAAGTCGAACGACAGGGTTGACAGCGAGCCTGTTGTGTCCGTCAAGAACGCTGCATCGATGTTCGGCGGTGCTGTGGTACGGTCGCCACCTCTGGAGGCCAAGTCGCGATTTGAGAGCCCGGTGTCTCCAGTCCAAAGGACCGATACTCCCACGAGGATCTCTACAAGGCCCCTGCCTATCCCACCGAAGCCTTCCTCGCCTACACCAGTCGCATCTCCTGTTCGATCCCCCACGAAGTCAAGCTCAGAGGTCTCCAGTCTATTGGATGACTTCTTTGGCACGCCACGGCCACAGAGGGAGTACCGCCTTGACACCACTGAAGTGTTGATGAACAAGCCCCGGGTGCGCGATATTCAAAGTCAAGGCACCAGGCTGTTCCAAATTACTGGGGACGGGAAGAAGATACCTGTACAATCACACAACGAGCGTATCTTGTTCGAGCGGGAAATGTACATCTGTGCTCACACATTTTCCAACGAGGCTGGCTGGAAGGAGACCGAGGTATATTTCTGGGCTGGTGACGAGGTACCGGCAGCAACTGTGGAAGACACGACTCTGTTTGTCAACCGGGAGGCTCGTTCGCTCGGCGGCAAGCTCGTCAAAATGCGCCAAGGCAGAGAAACTCCCGAGTTCATCATGGCGCTCGGAGGTATGATCATCACACGTCGCGGTACCAACACCAAGTACGACTCCTTGGCACCAAGCATGCTGTGTGGTCGCCGGACGCTTGGCCAGGTTGTGTTTGACGAGGTCGACTTCTCATCTGCAAGCCTCTGCTCCGGGTTCCCTTTCTTGATTACGCAGTCTGGAATGTGCTATCTCTGGAAGGGCAAGGGCAGTGATGTAGATGAGCTGAGCTGCGCCCGCCTCATTGGTATGGACTTGAGCTTGATGGGCGAGCTCATAGAAATCGAGGACGGCAGCGAGCCGGATAGCTTCTGGGCCATCTTCAACGACGGCACGAAGCCGCTCTCTGCAGACCACTGGCGTTTGAAGTCCAACTACGACAAGTACTGCCAAAGACTCTTCCGCTCGGACGCGTCTGCGGCGAAGCAGGTAAGCTCGACGTTGTTCCTATTCTCCAGCTCAGCGCTAACCATGATAACCACAGGTCACTGAAATCAGCCCGTTCACTCAGGCTGACCTGGACCCTTCCTCCATCTACGTTCTGGATGCATTCTTTGAAATGTACATTATCGTCGGTAGGACGGCGCAGAGCGAGTACAGCTCCTTCCGCAACGCTCTTGACTTTGCGCAAGAGTATGCCATTCTGGCTAGTGGCATGGAAGATCGGCCCTTTATCCCCATATCGACAGTCGTGTTGGAAGGCATTCCCAAAGACCTGAAGAGCGTGTTCCGCAAGTGGCGAGACGAGTCTAGCCCGACCATTATGCCCCAAAAGGCGGCGTCCGGCCTGAAGCGCGGACGATCTCTGCGCGTCGTTCCCCTCACCCACGCGCTCCAGGCTCTTAGTGAGTAAGCCCCTTTGCGAAGTGCAGTTGAAGCGGGTTCAGTTGGAGGAAGGCGCGAATGGAGTTTCATAACCAAGGAAGGGGGCGGCGGCGGCGGGTTTGATGCGATTTTATACCAGATACCCGGATGCTTGGGGAGGTTTGGGAGATGGGAGAGAAGTGTACATGAATTGTTGTCGCATTTGCAAAGGAGAAGGGGAAAGGAAATGGCGAAGGGCGTTTTCTCTTAATCACAAAAAGAAAGGAGGTTTTGGGTTGGCTGACTGTTTGACCATGTACGGCGAGACCATTCGGGCAGCAGCAGTAGCAAGTGACCAATGCACCAGGACCATCTTCTTGGTATCGTGGACGAATGTCACATCTTTCAAAGCATGTCACAGTCTTATGGCTTCCATCGTGTTTGCAGAGTTTCATTCTTTGACTCGTGGGCGCACCCCGTCCATCTGTCTCACTACAGCGGTCACGAAGAGCGATTGTCATGGACGGACGAAACGACGAAGATGAAGGAGACCAAACGGAAGTGTTTGATTCCAAGTGAACACTAGAAGAAGAAGCCAAAAACTCAACGCCGACAACAGTTATGTACGAAGACCAAACACGACCCTCTGGTCCACAATCCGCTCAGCAACCCCCCCCCCCCCGCTCCTATCTGAAGTGTGCCTGTGTAGTTCATGTTCTGACTTTGGGTATATTTTGAGAGTCTTTTTTTTTTACACTTTTTTGTTTCTTTTGTGCAACTAACGTTCTTCTTCTATCGCTTCGTACACATCAAGCTCTCCTCTACCCCGCCAACCAACCCGCTCAGGCTCAAAAGGCCTCGTTGCTTCATGACTCATCCTCTGTATCGGTATTCGTCTCGCTCGTGTCGTCCTGGACATCGTCGTCCGTACCACTCTCCTCGTCCGAGTCATCGTCATCTTTCCTGCGGGGCTTGGTGGCGCCCGGTACGCTGCCGCCCTTGAGAGCCTGCATCTGACCGGCTATCGAGTCTGTTGATTGCTGTTAGTGTGTAGGACGGCTTGGGGGAGAGGAGGGAGTACTAACCTTCATCGGGCTCACTGATATCATCCTCGGCAACCATTGCTGCCGCCTTGTTTGCCTCCTCGACAACAAGCGTAACCTCCATCTTTGTATCGAATCCAACGTAGCTGTCGCATACGACGTGCATAACGAATGTGTAGTGACCAGCCTGGGGAGGAGCGGCGAATTGAGCCTTGAGGGTTTGCATGTTGAAGGTGGGCTTGCCGTCGTCGCCAAAGATGGGCTGGTCGAACTGGGTGAAGGTGAAGGGTGGAACAGCCATCTTGCCCTGCTTAGAGTCGGTCAAGAAAACGTACCACTTGGGGGCGTGATCGCGGGCGAAGTAAGGAGCGTGGGCGAGAGGAGGCAGAATAGGCTTGTCGTCAACAGGGATAGGCTTGCCGTCGGGACCCTTGATAGTCTTCTTCTTGCGGCCAAGGTAGGCCTCAAGGTCGTCTTCGGCGGGGTCAATGTCTTCCAGGTCCAGCTCGTTGACCTCGGGCACATTTTCGCTGCCAGGCGGGATAATGCGGCCCTTGACAACGAGGGTAACGAGAGAGGAGGGGATGATGAATCGCTCGCCGGTAACCTTGAAGAAGGCCTTGGCAACGCGGAGCTGGGGCAGTTGTTGAGCGACATTGACGGCAGACTTGTACTGGGCCTCAGTAAGGAGGTTGTTGCGGACCACCAGGTTTCTGCGAAGCTCATCGGGCAGATCCATGAACTGCTGGAGGGAAATGTGAACCTTGGAGTCGCCTCCCTCGACCTGACGAACGATGTCCTGGGTGAAGTGAGGAAGCTGAAGGAGAGGAGAGGCCTTGGGCGGGAGAGCCTGGATAAGGTGCTGGCTGGTAGAGTATGCGGCCAGAATGGGACCAGTGTTACCGTACGCTTGGGCGATGGCAGAGAAGGATCGGGTGAGGGCGTGGGCGATGGGAGCAACTTCGTACTTTGCGCTGTCGAGGGCGGCGTCCTCGAGCTCGACACGGCCGAGGTAAGATCTCAGGAGAGCCAAAGCCTTGCGGCGCACCCCGCTGTCGAGGTCCTCGAGAGCTTGCTTGTCCTTTTGGGAGACACCAGCCTGTTCGGCGTTGGCCTGGAGCTTGGACTCGAGCTTGGAGAGGCCAGACTCGGCCTTGTCGCCCTTCAGAACAGCATCGAACTCCTTGCCACTGCTGAGGGCAGTAACAACGCCACCCTCGTCAACGTTCTCGTCATACGCGCGGAATAGGTTGTTGGCGCTCTCAAGAAGCACGCCATCCTTGGACATGCGCTGAGTTCCGTACCACCAGGAGCCAACCAGGTAAGGCAGGAGAACACCGAGGAGGAGTGTGTAGGCGAGAACAACGAACTTGCCGTTGCCGTCCGAGATGATGAACTGGGGGAGTGCAATACCGATGCTGAAGCTCTGCTTTCCGTCGGGGTGTCCATACTGGATGTAGTTGTTGCGGATCTCCTCGTCGGTGAGGGCTTGGTAGGCCTTTGAAATCTCGACGTAGGCGTTGTTGAGGGACTCGATGGTCTCGTTCTTGGCCGGGTCGGGCTTGACCTTGTCGGGGTGCAGTCTTCTTGAAAGCTGTTTGTAGACCTTCTTAATTGTCTTCTCGTCGGCAGACTAGACGCAACAGCGTGTCAGCACTATGTGGATGGGGTATGGAGGGGGAAAGAGACGGGCAGCCGGTGAGGTGAAGTGGTCAACATACGTCAGAGATACCGAGAATATCATATGGGTTCCAGATCTTTTGTGTGACGCTCTGTGTGTGGATAATGAGGTAGATCATGCCGGCCATGACGGCGAGGCCGATGAGGACGGCAATGACGCGCACGATGCGGCGCTGCTTCTTCTCGTGCGCTTTGCGCTGCTTGTCGATGAGGTCGACATGCTCGGGCTTAAAGTCGCTCTGGATGCGCGGGGCCTTTGCTTCAATGTCCTTGGAGGGGAAGACGAGGGTGTAGCCGAGCGGCAAGGTGATGATGCTGGTGATGGCGAGGATGAAGAAGGGGTAGAATTGCGCCTCGGCGTCGTACGAGTAGTCGGAACTCATCTTGACCGGCGCAGCGACGAGCTCTGGAGCTCTAGAGTGTCGGTGTCGGGTTGCTGTGTATGGTATGTGTTGGAGAGGTGGTCAGTCGTGAAGTCGAGATCCAAATCCGAGTGGGAGTCTTGCGCGCGGATCCGGACACGTCGCTGGACAGCTATGCAGCCCAGTTAAAAAAAAAAGGTCTTAAAAGAGCGGGAGTGTGTCGTGCGCGGGTACACTTGAAGAAGTGTAGACGAGACCAAGAAGGGATATGAAAGGGGGAAAAGAAGAACAATTCAGAGACCGTCAAGGAATGGTGTCTGCCTCCGTCCGCTGGTTGTTTCTTCCAGGTCGAGGTCGGGGACTTGGTTTGGGGTATGAAGTGGCCGCAATCTGCTGGCTTTGACCAAGTCACTTTCTTTTGACAATCGTGGCCTCGAAATAAACTGGTGCTTGTGCCTGCGCTGGTGGCTGCTTCTGCGGTGGTAGTTTCCGGAAGAGCGAGCAGGGGTTAACCAGTGGGTACCTTCCATTAGTGACAAAGGTACTTAGAGCCCTGGAGTTACTCAAGGCGCCACCTAACCTTAGGTAAGGTAAGGTAGAACAAGAACACACTGGGGGAGGTCACTGTGTCCTGTCTTCGCTGGCTGCGTGCGCTGTGTGAATGGCAAAGTCCAATCTATTAGGCCAAATCACCTCAACGCCCGGCTGTCAGTGCGCGCCCTGGAAGAGCCCCACAGCTTGCTCTAACCTTACAAACCTTGTCCGCCTTCTCCTTCTGCCTCCCACTGGTGCGACTACTCCAGCGCTGAGTGCTTCTGGGTTCCTTCTGATTCTGACACGGGGAAACGGCAAATGGAATATCTGTCCTTCCCCAAATTGGACCTTTTTACCCTCCGCCGGTCGGTTTGAGGCTTCTTTTCTCCCCTCAGTGTCTCTTTTAGCTTTGGGAGGTCTCCACTCTTCTTGCCGTATCGTACCGTGCTTACCTAATTCCCGTACAACCGTCCCTCGGCGTCGCTAGTCCGAATCCGCGACGGTAAAACGGCCGGCCTGCAGACAACTGCTTGCTAGCTTCATGACGCTACCAATTTAATATTCAAACGGGAGGGAAGGGAAAATCATTAGAAGAGAATGGAAGAAGGATAGACAGCGAATATCAACGGTGGTCGAGGAAGAATGAATTCCAGCGACGTCTCCTGATACAAACCCGCGGTTGGCAATATAGAAATGAAAGCAATTTATTGGTGTTTTCGCATCGTTTAATCCATGCTTCTATCATAATCCCGTGCCCTGCCCATCCGCTACGTACAAACAGCAATCCTAGTCTTTCTACACACCCTTGTTTCAAAGTCCGGAAGAGGCATGCGTCAAGTCAGTGTTGATGATCAAATCGTCTTTGCCTCTGAGATGCATGACAATGGTGAGCCCTTCGACTCCCAATTCGTAATCATCATCCTGGCTGACGTTGACACCCACGTCCGCGTGCCCAGGCGTGTCGCGTCGTTCTCGAGAAACGATTTCCGCCTTCAACTCCCGCACCTCCGCTGTCAAATTCAGATATCTCTCCTTCCAAGAGCATGTATGGTTCGGTGGCATGATTGGTAGCGGACTGAATACCTCGACTTCGTCATCAAGAGATCGAGACAATCGCTCCACCAGCTCCACGCTGCCGTTGGCGCTGGCGTCTTCGACTTCGAACGTTTCCGAAGTAGAGTGAGTAGCCTCCAAATTTCGTGTGACTTGGCTCACAGTCTTTGATTCAGTCTTCGTCGTTGTCGATATCCTTGAGCTCGATCTCTGAGAGATCGATTTCTTCATCTCTTCGAGGCGCTTATGTCTCATTGCGTAAGCCTGATCCTCCTGAGCGACTTGCTCCGTCCTGCCAATTTCCTCCAGAGAGGCTTTAACAGCATTTGATGTACTGTTTCGCCCGTCGGCGGGAACACGCGGTGATGGTGTGTCGTGGCCACACGAGACGCAACTGTCTGCCCGCTTGCGATCGGCGTGATGTGTGCCGTGTCCCTCAGCAGACTCGGCTTCTGCGGCTGCAACTTTCCGAAGCTGAGATCTCCATGACTCAACATCAGCAGCCTTTTGTTCCTCAGCTTGCTGCGATATGTTCTCCTCTTTATGCACACGACGCAACGGTCTCTTCAGCCACGGAAGTGGCTCTTTTTGCACTTCATGGTTTGCCTCTTTGTGAACCTTCTTCAACTTTGGCCACTGGATAGACGCTCCGCCTGTTGGGGAACTGAGCTGCTCAAATTGACCTTGGACCAGGTAGCTGCTGCTCTTGACACTCTCGGAGGAAATTGCAGATGCCGGACTGATTGTCTTTGCGGCGGAATCTCGACTGCTGGGCGTCTTCATTTGGGGAGAACTCTTGGTCTCCATTATCGTCAGTCTGCTCGTCCTGCGATTCGAGATCTGAGTAGGACTCTTCAGCCATGATGGAGAACGAGAGAGTCGTCCTCCGGCAAGAACAGACAGCGAATCTGAACCTCTCTTCTTGACTGGATCTACGTCAAAAGACTGGGACCTCTCGAGGCTATGGACGTCCTAGGCCCTGGCGCGCTCGCTGCTTTCGGCCATGGCCGCATCAAAACTGATCAACTTCTCGCGATTGGTATCAAGACCTTTGGTTCGGAACTGCGTCTGCTGTGCAAAGGGAGTAGTGTGTTGAGAGTTCTGCTTGCTTGCTGAAATTCCAGCGGAACCAGTGGCCAGGTGCTCCATGATGTGCTGTGCACGTCTGAGATCTTCAGCGTGATGGTACATTTGGTCAATCTTGTTCTGGACGGGATCCTCCAGCGGGAGATGTGGTCGCAGCGGCTCCGAGTCATCCATGTTTACTGAACTTTGCTGCTCGGCAATGCATGCAATACTGTGGCGACCAGAGTGATGCCCGGCATGGGTGGCATTGCACCTTGGATTCCCGTAATCTCCGTGTGTCTCTGCAGTATTCAAGTCCGTTTGCCTAGGAACACAATCTGAGAGCCTTGATGCTTGTCCCGCGCCAACCGTCATGTCAGTGATCTGAGGTTCGGCCGTGGTGATCTTCGTCATCCTGTCGGCCAGTATGAAGGGGTTCTCATTGAGATTGACCGAGGTGGCTGGGGTCCTCTGATTCTTCTTCGATGTCTCTGTAGTTTCCAGGCTGGAGGATGACCGAATGTGCTCCTCTATTACCTTCGAAATATGATGTTGACTGGTTACAGCATTCCGATGACTACTCTCAGTATGCTCAAAGTCGATCGAGCCATCGTCCGGTATTTCGCTGGCACATTGTGGGCATACCGCATGGCCACACGTAGAGCAGAATGTGCGAGAAGTTACCTCTGCGCCGCAGGAATGGCACGTGTTGAGAACATGCCTGGGAATGCTGTTGGTTCCATCTCGGTGACGCGAAAAGTCCTCTTCTTCGTCGTCAGAGAGCCATCCCGACGGACGAGAGATGCCAAATTCTGCAAAGATATCCCGAGCATGGCGTTTCCGAATGGTCGAGGTTGTCATATCTGTTCCGCAAGAGTGAATGGAGGAAACGGAGTTGTTGGAAAAGTGTCGTGGCTTCTGCGGGCTTGATGAGGCCGAAATCGATGCCATTGGCATCTTTGGAGGCCGGTTGAGCGTCCTGCTCGGTCTTGCTCGAAGCCGACCGGTCGAAGCGGTTTGGCGAAGCTGCATAGAGTCTGGGTCGGCTACTCGTGGAGGAGTGAGGTACATTGACTTCCGCAGACGTAATGCAGGTATGGGGGCTTGACTGTTGCTTCTGGAGGCTTGCTCTGGACTCTGTCCAAAGAATGAGTGGTCTTGAGATGGCACCCTGGACTCTGCAGTTTGAGTGTTGCGCGTTGCTGGTCTCGCGAAGACCTTGTTGGTGCGTTGGCCCTAACCAGACCAAGTGCTCTCGCGTTCCCTCGCACCTAATGGTGATGGCTTGCGGCTCGTAACACGAATAGAAGGCCGGCTTGAGAACTTCTGTCGTCGCGCGGATACAAGACCCTCTGGGATGTCACCGTCTTCGGGCTCGGCTATGAAGACGTTGGCTCGGGGCGGGGAGAAATTATCAAAGAAGGGATCCTCCATTATGAGAAACAATGGGTAAGGATTGAATAATACTGTATAATGTCGTGGTAAGTGCAAATTGGTACTGTAATGGATGGGCCGTGGGGGGTTGAGAAACGATGCTCCTTGACGGGCGATGCGGAACATTTACCTAGGGAAGAGAATTTGCCTCGAGTGAGGTCAGGATAAGTAGTTTGAGATCAAAAGACGGAAGACAGGCAGGGGCCTCCTCGAATGGATAGCAGACAGGACCGACTTGGCCCTCAGTAGGCAACCTCGACCCATGTAGTCACTCCGTGGAAAGACCTTCTGGTACATGACGTAGCATCCATGGCACACACGCAATGATGGGTTTTGACAGAGAAAGAGCGCTAGAAACGTCGCAAGTGGATTCAATTATGCGATGTTAGATAAAGTTAAGGGAATCCGGGTCTTGATGTACAACGTCATGTGTCTGCCACGACCTTCTTTTACACTCTCTATTTCAGGGCAGCCTGGAGGCTCTCAAGAACCTATGAATTACAATTAGCATCCCTACTGTACCGCTCGAGGGCCTTGTTTGGAAAATTACTCACCTCGACCTCAATCTTCGCCTCGGCGATCTCCAACTCGCTTCCACTGCCGCTGGCGACCTTCTGGGCCTCGGCAAGCTGGGACTTGACAGCCTCGGCGCTGAAGTCCTCAATGGGGTATCCCTCGGTGGCGTTGATGCTGAGAACAGAGTTGGGCTGGACAACGGCAAAGCCGCCGGACACTATAAACACAATCATCGTCAGTTTCCTGCCTTTCTCCTATCCCTTTGAAAAGCTCCATCTCGGTCGTAACGTACGGAAGAACTGCTTGCTGGGGCCGCTCTCCTCGACAACCTCGACCAGACCGGGCTTCAGCTGCTCAATGGCGGGAACGTGGTTGGCGAGGACACCCATCTCGCCGGAGTCGGCGGGGATGTTGACCTGGACGACATCCTGGGACTGGTAGATGGACTGCGTGTTGCGGCAATTAGCTCTGATCCTTCAATTGGCTTCCGCCTTGCATCCCCCTCGTATCGTCGTCTCGTCTCTCGTTCAATTGTTTCGGGTATTATCGACTTCGTACCTGGTGAGGAAGGGACAAGCTCAGCTTGATCTGCAAATGGTCAGCGGGTACTCGGGATGCCTCCGGCTCGGAGGATGCAGGCTCGGGCTGCTTGCCTTGTCCGGGACGGCATCTGCGTAGGTTCTGCGCTGGAGGGGAGCGCGGAAGGCAGCAGGACGGGCTCGGAGGGCCGCGCGCGCGAAGCGGAAAGAGTTCATGATGGGCTGAGCTGGCAATGGGGATGTGTTGCTGGAGGCAGCTCGGGTGAGGTCGCAGGCAGGAATCTTTCGGCTGAGTCCATTCGCGATTCGGCTAGCGGGAGAAACTTTGGTCACGCCGTAAAGCACATGACCCGCAGTGCACGGAGCAGCCCCGGTTCACTCCGTCAACCTGTTTGAACAGAGGAAAACGCAGACGCAATCTTATTCCTCTATACCGCATATTACTTTAAAGAGTTTTAGGCCTCTGTTTAATGATATTTCACCAACATCGTGTCTTCCTCCTGTGACAAAATTTATGTTCTAGGTAGCTTCGAGCTGTATATAAGCGTGTGGTAAGCCAGCAATGTGATTTTTTAGTTTTCTTTAGAACGCAAGAAGTTTTCTGGATGAATTCATCCGATTAATCGTTGCGTGCGACCATTCCGAATCCGAATCAATAAGACGCTGGCAATCTGGACTTTGTCGCGAGGATGCAACGCCCACGTATGGGGTACTACACCGAAACGTTCTGGCTCTCATTCTCGCTTGATCGCATTTTCCAGGCTGCCCTGAGATCTCGTCTGAGTACTTCAATGCATTCGTAGCTTGATGATGAAATTGATGCGCTGCATGTGCCGATAGATAACCGTTGACCCAATGCCCTCCTACCTAGGTACGGTGATATGGTGATCATCATCCAGGTTCGGCACGATGAATCAGGACAAAGACTTCCCATCTCTCTGTGTATTCCACCCTTCCACACAATACACCACAAATGATGCCCATATAGGTCCCCTCAATTCCATTCCTACCACCAGGAAGGAGGCGCCCGTCCAGGTCGACGGGTCAGGTCAAACTGGCTGGGAGGTGAAATGGTTTACGGTCAACAAATAATCAGAAACGCCCACAGCCTACTCGACGACAGGCTCCGAGGTCGAGTTCAGTTCCCAGCCTGAGCACCAAAAATATCCCAGCATGAGCACTAAGAGGTGTAGCCCCCAGTCCAGCACCGGGGGGGGGGGGGGGGTTGAACTCTTTTTGCCATCTTCATCTATTTTGCCAAATTGAGAATATCTTCCTTTATAGCATTCGTGTCTGCCGCTACTTCAATTCCCTAATGTCAAATGCAACAACGGAAGTACATAAAATCGAGTAGTGACTCACAATATCGAAACTTTTACCTGTTCTCGGGTCTTTGTCTCGGCCGAGTTGCTCCAGCCCTGCTGGAAAGAAGCATTTGCTCCCACGCAATCACAGTAGCATGGGGCATTTGATAGTTCGAGGTATATATAATGTGGTATATCGAGTGGTGTCAAGGCAGTAGTCTTCAGGCAGCTGCAATAGTGAGAAAAGTTCTCATCTCTCCTGCCTCACGACCGTGATTCAACATCCTCCCTGAGCACCATACTCTGCAGCATGATTATGGCCAATGCTCGAGATCAATCAAACTTAAAATGCTGTCAGTCTGAACTGGGAGACAAGAGGCGCTTATGACCAAACCTATTCCCGGCTTGTGGCCTTCTATGCCATAAATCGATGGTGCCGTTTTTACAGAGATCACATAGACAGAGACAGGTTGATTATACTTTATTGATTTGGATGACACCATGAGTGAGTTCCTGCAACTACTCTTAAGCTTCTTCCAATGAAAACCGTGCATCGAAACCAAACGAGTCTTACAAAATTGGATGTTGAAGTTAGCGATGATTGGCTTTAAAGGTACTGGCGAAGGTCATCCGTCACTGGCATGGTCGGCACAAACATATGTATAGCATCCTCCCATTGTGACTTCTCGAAGAATTTTCATCTTACTCAGTCATTTAGCTGCTCCTCGTCTGCATTGTCTAGTCGTCATAGTAGCGGTGATCCAACTCGCAGATAGCCTTTATATCTGTCGCAATCCTATCATGACATAGCCTCACAGGTAATGGTGTTCCCCCTGTCAACAAACGTCAGTCTAGTTTGATCTTGTATTTCACGAAGGCTGCGGTTAACCTAGACTTGGCCAACTTAGCGGTCTATACAACTACGTTTCTGGTAAATGTTACTTCAGGTTACCTCAAGATTGTCTCAGATCGCTTCTGCGGATTGTTACATGAGGTATCGAACTGGGAGTCAATTTCCATATGATCCTGCCAGACACCAAGCTCGTTTAGCTCTCAGTGTCCTTCAGAATCTTTCACACGGCTTTTGTATTGTGAAGTAAGTGACGCGGTAGTTGCGGCCATTGCTGATGTAGTGTATGGCTGCCATACACAGCCTGTCCGCTAAAACCATCGTGTGAGTATTTCCCTTTATGAGACGTAGTCGTTCACCACTCCTCATCACGTGTCGCAAATCGTACTCACATATTTTGCGAAAAATACATACAACGAATCCAAGACCGCGACACGGGGCCATCAAAAGCAGCTTCCTCAAGTTGGGCAGTGCCAACATCCCTCACAACTCACGCAAACAACAAGACTGATGTCTCAGCCAGTCGAAGAATTGAAGACCTTCATCACGCATACATCGGTCGCAGTGCCTTATTTCTGGAAAAGAGATAGTTACTAGTGAGTTGCCAGGTTCGAGATTCCAAGGGCCTTGCTGCAGGCCAGCCAGATGTCCCTCGTCTGTGACCGTACCTCGACGACTCGCAAGGCCATGTGAGCTACACCAAGTCGATTCTCCAACGCAACGAACACCACTGGTCTCGAAAGCAATGCCGTCTACTTTGCATCTAATTACATGTCATCTTTAGCACGATACAAGAAGCGAACTAAGGAAAAAAATCCGGTACATGAACTGAGATAATTAGCAAATCCTGCTTCACGGCGTCTTGTTCCATGGCAGGAGAACTTCATGCTCATTCACCAAATCCCCGTCAGCAGCATGCAAACCTCCATGCCAGCTACCTAGAAAGTCTCATAGCCATGGATATAGCTAGATGGCAGCTTTTTCCGCGTGGAGTGCTGTCTTCCTCCCACTCCTAGACGACTGAATTTACTTTATATCATGCGGGCAACTGCTCCGGCGTGCTCTGCCAACGTTGGAGAGAACACCTGGCAAAGGGGCTCTGGCTGATGGACTACTTGGAATGGGCAACTCGCCAATATTGTTTGTTCTTGAGCCTGGCATCAAAGTCGATGGAACGTCTTCGCTCAGCATGCCCATCAACACGTAAGCAGAGGAAAACATAACCACCAAACCACACGTGAATCACATCTCGTCACATTTCACTCGGCCAGTCAGCTTACCTACACAGACTCACATGTCCAACCTCATGATTGATTCTGTACTCACCTGCCTCGCTCATAGGTAAGCAGCAAAATATGACATACGACCTCCACGTAACAAACCGATATCTGACGATACACGACATGCCACACGAAAAGGATACTCCAAGCAGGCAACTGACTCGACAAGTCCCGGATCAACATCAATAATCGAACTTGGCTGTCGACCTCTTCACGTTCCTATCCCCTCGCGATGGACAGTGGCTGGCATACATTGCTTAGCCTCATGCAAGGCAACAAGGTTGACATGGTCCTGCTGCACCACTCGTGACCGTCGATCATCAAGCAAATCGTACCGTCAATCACTTCCACATACAAACCGTTTCGACTTATGCCATCACGGCCATCAAACCACACCCGGTAACCGCCACGTTCCGACGCTGTCCAAATGGGATCAATGATCACCGCGTCGCTGAGGATCCTTACTCTACGTAACTTGGATAGACTTTTGGCCAAAATACCATGTCCATCAAAGATGGCGAATCTATGTACAAAGAACGTAACAAATGTACCAAAATTCTCCGACATAGGAACGAGATACCTTAGGTGCTTGGCAGTGCCACTTGGCGACAGCATCCGCCTCCTTTGAAACGAAACTTCCTTCAATGCCCTCAATGATCGACACAGAAAAGGACACCCAAAAAGGACAAAAGAAGATGGACAGCGATCTACATTTTCGAGGAGCACCAGCCACACACACACACTCATGCTGAACCTTGAAACCGGGGAAGCCGTCATCGGAGCAAGGCGAACGAGGCGAACCCTCCCTCGGCCGATGGCGCTCCCGACTCCGTTTCCTCATCCCCATGGGGGCCATGGGAGATATCCCTCCCCGAAACCCATGGAGGAAGTAAAGATCCGCGGCTCATGAAACCTCGCCTCTGGGCTCACAAGGCAAAGGAAAGAAAAGAGGGAACCCTTCACGCTTCAATCATTCGTGACTCGCCAACCTTTACTACGACCGAGCTTCCGGGCGCCGAGAACCGAGGAAAGATGATGGTGTGTATATGCGCCGGACCAGTTGAGCCTCATGGCATTTTCGACAACCACCGACGGCAGCGACGGCACACAACGTTGAAAGGCTTTCTGCCCTTCCCCCAGCAACCATGTAGTCGAGATTCTTCCCTTGAACATTCTGGAAGCAACCGAGACGAGAAAGAAAGGTCGACGAGATCAGATGAAGGCGAGGCATGTGTCATTGCCCATGCCTCAAAAGCCCGTGGACCAGGTGACCCGATGCCTAATGACGATTGGGCAGCCTCTCACGGGAAGCCCAAACAGTTCGCTCTCGTCTCGTCAAGCTTTCTTCTGTTCTTTTCTTCTCTTGCCCTCGGGAACGAGATTTCAGAAACGTTCATGCGAAACGCCCCAGCAAGGGGGTATCGAGGGCAACTCCCATTCGCGATTGAATAGTAGCAGGTGCTAGGAAGACGAGGGCCTCATGCTTCACTTTTCGCCCTCCAGCATTGAGAGGCCGTGACACTCACTTCTTCCGTTCTTCCGTGCCTCCTTGCCTCTGTCGAGTGAACCGAACTTCCAAGGACCCTGAAATCTAAATCAACCACACCAGAATCCTCACAAACGCAGGCAAACTTTCCCGGCATCGGATTGCCACGGCCCAAAAGGAAAAGATCTGAGACGTCTTGACCTCTCTCCCTTTGGAGGGTGTGTACTTTCCCAAAGTCTCGAGCTTACAAGAGTCAATTGCTCCCTCCAAGCCCCTTGGAGTACGAAAGCCAACAG